TCTGTGAATAGCATTGTTTTCTTTAACCAGACGAGACAGAATCCCTCATCAAATTAGAAAATAGGCTATGCAATTCAGAATCAGACAGCCACGTAGTCAGCTACGAAGTATCGGTTTATATCTCGCCAAGGAAAATGAACTCATTTGGCTCGATACACCAACCTTTATGACCTAAACCAATGTCCTAATACATGCTCTTACACAGATGAGTGTTTTGGAATACAAAAAGGCCTCGAATATCAAAGAATTACTAAAAAACTACAGTAAATCCCGGGCAGTTATTGCTGTTCTATGATACGATTGTTTAGAGTAGTTCGTATCTAGAAGAGTTGTCGACCGGGCTTGAGATCTCTTCGCCTTTAACAGAAAACTTTCCGCTATCCCAAATACTCAGATGAGTAATAAGCGGCAGACTTGAAGAGTTGTTTGACTTGAAGAGTCGATAATTCTGAGTTTCGTGCGATTGCGCGCTGTATGAGACATCCACGGGCTTCATTTATCTACAAAGTATTGATTTATATCTCGTTAGTATAAAAGATACAGTAAATCCCGAGCAGTTTTGCTGTTCTATTATACGCTTGTTTACAGCCGAGTTCGTAATGTGATATTTCGTTTAGAGATCGGAGTGCGATCGGGGGCAAAGGTACACCCGAGTCCGCAATGTGATATGCGTTCGGGACGCAAAGGTCAGCCCGAAGACAAAGGTCTCACATAGAAAAAAATAGGCAGTCAAGGACTGCATGTGACTCAGGCCATTAAGAGATTTAATAGGAACATAGAGATCTATAATAGGACAAAGTGTAACTTAAGAAAATGAAATATGACAGTCAAAAGGATTATCCAGGCTTTAATCAAATGAATGTATCCTATAGTATGCGTGTAAAAGTCAAAAATAGGAATCCATGCCATTTGTCCAATGTTTATAGTTTTAATTTTTATTATAGCTTGATAAAAATTGTTTACAAAATATACCTTTATATGCTTATAAAAGACCATAAACATGTGAAAAAGAATTAGTTTGCAGTCAAAAAAAAAATTGTGGTTGTAGGTACATGATGTCGAGAATTTTAATTGTTTTCGTATAAAATCGTATAAAATCGTATCCTTAAAATAATTTATTAATAAGATGCCGCCATTTTGATTTTCCCATGAGCGGTCTATCACAAATTAGACTATTAGTAGAGTAGCCAATCACAACGCAGTATGAGTGATAGACCATTAGTATATTTATACTAAAATTGGATAGTCTTTTATAATTYAATATTTGTATATTATCATTAATACATGCATATCAATGTCACCCAAAATTGACCACACCCTTGTCTCTTTTGGAAACACTTTATTAATGAATTTTACTGGATATAAATACTAAGGTTATAGCTAAGAAAATCTGTAGCAATGTGAAGTACAAATTACTAAGTTAAAGAAATTACAGCCGCTTGAAGAAACGATACAGAATTTGATGAATAACTAAATTAGTGTTTTCCCTTTACAGCCGCTTGTGGAAACGATACATTGAATGTTGAACTAAATTAAATTGTTTTCCTTTACAGTCGCTTTTTAAAACGATACAATTTTATGAGTCAGAATTAATACTTATCAGTCCTGTCTCCTCTTTAATGGACTCTAAGCGTCACCACGTGGTTTTGTCCCTCTTATATTTCTTTTCACGTATTTGTTTTCACGTATTCCTTTTCACGTACTTCTTTTCACGTATTTCTTTTCACGTATTTCTTTGCACGTATTTCTTTTCACGTACTTCTTTGCAACTGGGTATTTCTCGTAGGTTATTGTGGAGTTGTTTAGGCTTCTGCGTCCCTCGTGCTCTTTCTTTCTGAATATCGACCCTTGGCTCGTGAACACAGTTTATCTTCGCAGACGTTGTGAATGTTTCACTTAATAAGAGATTTGCATGCTTCACTAAAATGGGCTTTTAGTATAAGACCTTGAAGTAATACATGTATTTATCCTGTCATTGCAACGTTCTTGTTTAGAAAGAGGCGTATTAGTCTTACTCAATCTATTTCTTTGTATCAATATAATAGTTCTGATGTTCACTTTCAATTGCCAGGAGTATTTATTACAATATTCCAACTTCGTGACAGTGAGAACATTCAGTTTTGAAGAATTCTTGTAGTACATATTTGATATGATGGGGTTGACAAGTCGTTGTGAAAGATCTAAAAAAATGAACGAAAATATCAGGTTAAATTCAGGTTATTTAGATACAATGTAAAACATTATGGAAATGAATGCATGAGAGAAATAAATATTAATGGTGTTTTAATAAAAAGGATGAGTGATTAAAAAAAATCAAACATTGCATCAGTACTTACCTAAATTTAATTAGAAATTCATAAACTTGCTCTTCAGAATAGCATCAAGTGCAATTACTTTATAACATCTAAATTTAYATAAAAGTAAGTGTTAAAGATTGTTTGTAAAAAAAAAGAAAAGAAAAAGTATCAAGAAAGAAAGGGAAGAGAATGAGAACAATATACTTACTTACCTAATTAATTTTGCCCCATTGTGTCTGGTATTGTTTGAGCTGTTTCTGTTGAGTAAAATTACATCAGGACTTTATACACATATATGGTCTTTCTATTTACTAAGARTSTTTACTTCTTAACTGTTACCATTTSTAAAGATTAGWCTAAAATACTTGTTGGTATATYATGTAACTTAYTAGTTTTATCTCTAAAATATTTCATGTTTTGTATTAACCAATAATGTTGATTTTAGTATAAATCATTTTATGATCAGCAAAATATGTTTCAATAATACTTATTGTTATCAATGAATCCAACAAATTAATTTTAATATGGTATATACAAGTCTTTCTATCTGTTGTGTAGCATGACACTAGTTGCTTGTAGTTATTTTGTTTTGTATTAAGTCATATAATGGCAAACATTGACTGTCATTGAGTTAATTCACATTAAACACTGCATATTGAGATGATAGTAGCTGCATTTCTCTTCTTGCATGTATATAATACAATGCATTTCATATATCAATAATTATATAATCAAGGATTAATATCATCAATATTAATTTTGATTAAAGCAGTTAACCAAGGCACAAATGGGCTTGTGATCTGAAAAATAGGTCTCTAAAATCTGGAACTGTATTTCKGAGTCAGACAAATTTGTATAAAKGTGATCAATACAAGTGTTGCTGTCAGTAGTGCTACACGACACTAGCTGTCTRTAACCATTCTGATTTATGAAGAAGTTATAAAGTGATGCACRGCGGGRCTGATTGAACCAGTTGACRTTAAARTCACCAATAAAAATGTTCATTTGAGTTGGCAGAGAGTCTAGTATCTCTTGAATAGCATTACATAAYRCTGTWACYGATACTGCTGGTGAGCTGTATACWCCCACTACTGTWAYATGAGGCATAATCATAAATCTCAAAAYAGTTATTTCTACACCATGCCTATTACTACTAAAGGGATATCCTGGATAATARTCAAGACGRGTATACACTGCTGTGCCTCCATATGGTCGCACATTTTRTGAAACTGTTGTTGAATCATCATTCCTAAATAATGTATARCTTCCMTCTTCTATATGGTACAAATTGTCAGTGTCTAGTTGAGAAAACCTTGTTTCTGAGAAAATATTAATATCAGTGCTCCAATAGTTAAAGTCATGACGTATGTCAYCTATGTGCTTGTGCAATGACCKTGCATTATGAAAACATATTTTGATACTATTGTTTGGTGCTTTATATATGGGTGTTACTGAAAGTGACAGCTGTCCTTCAGTTCTCAATCTATGCATTTCTGCTTGYACATCATGATTAACAGCTATTTTSTCTTCACATAGGTCTGTGAYATATAGACCATTTATAGTTGTTACACGGCTTAATCCCACATAGTGAATATGAGGAATTGCTCTTCTAGTTTCAAGATTTACTACTATTCTAGATTCAGTATCACCTTGTGATCTGTGAATAGTTTTAGCTGCAGCAGGTCTCAGAGGAAATTGTTTTCTAACAACCTGAACAGATCTTGTTCTGCCTACASTAAACTGTGTAGTAATTGGCTTAATTGGTGTCCATGTTTGTTCAATGTCATTTATATACAAATGCCTATTGTCATGCCTTGTTTTTTGACCAACATCAGGATGATCAAACTGCACCCATATAACACCAGATGGTTTATCTGTTTGTTGTATTTGCATCAATTTTATGACACAACCAGCACCATTGGTCATGCCATCATCAGTCCTAGTGTTAAGTGATATCTCTGTTCTTTCTCCTACTGCTACAYTTAATACTGAATGCAGTTGTTTTGTTTTTCTAGGATCATTAGGTATTTGATTCAATATTTTATTCCTAAGTTCCTGTGAATCAGCACCTATAACACTGTCATGTGCTCTTATAGCATATTTAGTACCTGGAAGAGCATTATGTGCTCTAGCATTAAAGTCATTTACTTTTGCATTTTSAATGAACACATGTGGAGCATCTTTGGGATACTCACGACTAGTGATATCAATAACTCTTTGTTTTAATTTCTGGATATCTTCTTTAGTGTGATTTCCTTCTCTCAATCTATTYAATAATTCAGCAAAGTCTTTACTTTCTCTTTGCCTCATTATTTGTTTGAGTTCAAACATTTTGAAAAGTTCTTTCCATACATTAGGWGCAAGAACACCATATTCATCATTATCAAGATCTTTAAATATATAACCATCCATTACTGGTTGCAGTTGGAATARATCTCCTATAGCRACAATACTAACACCGCCAAATGGTAGTGAGCTACCTTTGATATCTTTAAGTCTATTATATATTTGAACAGCGAACATGTTGTTACCAACCATTGATATTTCATCAATAAATATYAGCTTAAGATTACCAATCTTACATCTTAATGTATTAAGCCTGCTGGAGTCAACACGTTTGTAGTTCTTTAATGACTGACATGCTGGTATTGCAAGTGCACTGTGAATGGTGTTTCCCTTAATATTRTATGCTGCTTTCCCTGTAGGTGCTAACATCAATACTTTTACTTCATTAAAGTTAATACCTGGTCTGGTGTTATAATATTTCAATGCAGCCTGATACAAGGCTTTAGTAACATGTGATTTACCAAYGCCTGCACCACCACTTAGGAAACAGTAAAATGCTTCATCAGAAGTCTTTATCAAATGCAGTACATGATAGAAAAACTCTTTTTGTTCTTTATTCAATGTTTGTACCATATGTCTATATTCATCATCTGGTAGTTCATTCATTGTGAGTGGTTCTGTATTATCAACTGAGGGTATTCCTAAATCATCTGACAGATTGTAGTTTCCAGTAAAATCAGGATGTAAGTCCTGATCACCTTCAGCTTGGTCTTGTTGTTYAAGACTTTGTGTACAAGGAGCTATTTCATCAAACCTGTCTTCTATCCTATTCATGTCTTGTTGWATTTCATTGAAATCTTCATTACAAACAGCATATTGCTTCATTTGTTCATTTATYACATTAGCAAGTAACATATATCRTTCCTGATAGGAAGAAAATGYACCTAGKAGATCAGTTTCTTCATCTCGCCATGGAGTAAAAAGCATTARGAGTTCACGGTAATGTTTCTCTGGCTCAGATTGCTTATTGAACCAAACACTTCTTATTATCCTAGCTTTAGTCCTTTTTTTAGTTTTGCTGCATGTTGATTTATCAGTTTCTGCTGTATCATCATTTTGATTATCATCAATAAAATTCTCTAATGGGAGACCATCAACATCAACCTCATTAGTTTGTTTTATATAYGGCTTGCCTGTACAATCGTACCAAGCAGCCCAATCTGCAAGTGTAAGATTTTCTAATTTTGCTGGTCGCTTGCAATATCTTTTTAGCAAACCACTAGTGTATATTTCTTCTGATTCATCTTCCATGTTTTTGATGTCATCCATAGGTTTTAAAAGCTCCACCCTTTCACCAGGAGGTGAAGTATTTATAAATATGATCTGTCTAGATGATTTTCTCATTGGAAGTTGTAATACTATGTACACTGCTTCTTGGKCACTAATTTCAACATTATTTAGGAACTTACTCCCAATGTCTCTAACTTGTTGTTTAATAGTACTATTTCCTTGTCTAGCTTCAGTGCAAGCCTCTCTCAAAAGTTCACTCATACCTTTTTGACCTTTTGATRTGTAATTGACTATRTATACAGCACATRCATACACATCTAATACAAACTGTATGTCCATATTAGCTCTCCATGCAGAGAGRCAAGCAGGGTTGTAATTATTTATGCGTATTTCATTATGATTTCTTTTGAGGAATATAGTTGGTGTGTTTACAGATGACCTTATGGCATATAAGTAGTTTTCTTCTGTGATATTGAGYTTCAAAAGAACTTCATCAAATGGAATTACTTCATCATCTTTGATWTCATCAAGATATGTTTTTATTGACTTCCAATTGTCTTTGTGTAATTTTATTTCATTTTCTGGTGTATCCTCATCTAGAGGATATAGTATCATRGTTTGCTTCATTGGAGGCTGTGGATAGTTGAATCTACATTTACTGCTAGTATTTTTACAACATGTATGTGAGTGTCTATGTACTTGTCGATTAACTAAGTTTAGAAGTTCAGCATTGTTGATTGGCTTTTCACAAGTAATTATYTTATCAATAAATGATATGACAKCTTCATCACTATCTGYTTGAAATTGTGGTGCATCTTCAAGCCATATGAGCATGTGTATATGAGGAGAACCTCTCTGTTGATATTCAACTCTATAAAACCAGTCTGATATTTTACCTAAWGGTTCAGCAGAACTGAATAAGAARTTTGTCAAAAACTGATTAACTTGATAATCAAAGTGTCTHGCACATGTCACAGGGTCACTYTGAATTAAGCGACACCTGTCATCCCAGTTAAAATTGYTTATTTCTWCATCAGTGTATTCSTGATGGTCTACAAGCTGACCAAGTATTCTAAGTAGGTGTACCCATTGCGTTTCAGCTGATGAGAAACTACAGAACAGTGTAGCAGGACCTAATTGTCTGATYATTGCAAAWAGATCTTTTTTAGCTTTTTCAAAGTATGGAGGTGAACCTCTCAAAGCATTCAGAAATTTATAGCCATCRTCATGACGAATCAATCTGTCTAATGTTCCCTGTTGCTTGAGTTGCCCTGCAGTGATATTTTTGTTGTTACCCTTGCACTTTCTCAGAGCTATATGTGATTTYCCTAATAGGATTTTCATTTGCAATTTTTTTGTTTTGTAAAATATATTTTCAATGCACATTGCAGCTCGTCTGTCAGATTGTCTCAACTCGGATTTACATATGTCACTATAGTTAATATTAACTAATCTTTGTTTATTGTCAAGTCGTGGTTGTCCAAGAAATATTCCAGGATATGCTAACTCTTCGCAATGCTTATCTCTAAAAACACTTAATGGTCTATTCCCTTCACCTGGAGCAATATTTARWATGTTTTGCCTTTCGTCATCTTCTAAAAAATCAGTTGCTGTAAACATAGTGTCAGTAACACCAGAAGGTCTTYCTGYSTCATCWWMATGCAATTCATTTTGGTTTAGTCCTTCAGAATCAATATTATTTTCATCACTTTCATCTATTGTATCTGACTCTAAGTTCTCATTAATTTCATCATTRRCAGCTTCRTTGTATTGATTGATCCAGTCATTATTCAATACTATGCCTTCRTCWCTATAYAAACTACTATGRGCAATWAGCCAATTTKCTGCTTGGAGCACTTTATAWGGTCTTACATTTAGTGACAATGCTGAGCTCTTATATTTCAACATTCGCTTTAAATTAACTTTAATTGTAGCAGTTTGATTTTGTAATCGYGGTAATATACTAACTGTATGARTTACATCAGCAGGTACATTAACAATATTKCCATGTATCTTAAGTTGTCGTCCTCTAGGCGCTTGCATTAATTTTTGAAATGCAATYCTWGGAGCTAGTAATCTRCATTCTAGTTCATTCAGATCAAAGAAATCTGGTTTATCTGGAAATGCCATACCATTAGCTAAAGCACTTGGTGGAACCTTATTTTTGAGCAAATAATTAGAGCATGTTTTACAAACCCATTCTTTGTTATCAACACTTGTCTTATTTAATAGATATTTTACAATATCAGGATTTGATTGCCTAAGCTTATTAGTACTAGTAACACTATGTTTATACCATAGTTGATCACAACAGGTACAAACATATAGTGGGCCTTTGTTTACTATTTCATGGAACCGTTTAATTGCAAATTCAATAGATGAGTTATTACTACATGTACTTCTATATTTTCTTTGGTATTCATTACGCT